ACTTCCCTATCTTGGTCTCCTGGCCAAACGAAGGCCTCCCTACTAAGGCTGAACTATATTCAACTCTGCTTTACGATTCTTCTCCTTACTGCTGCGCAAATATATGCCTCGCGAGCTTCTCCTCTTGCCAGCTTGCTCCGTGCCTGGAGAGCAAGAGCGCTTTTGACACCGATAGCAGCCGTGCTTTGGGCTACAGCCAGCACTAACCTTGCGCAGCTGTGAAACCAAGCTTGTCCTCCCAAGCTTTGCGGGAATAGATCAAATCGACGCCTTCGTACTTTCCGTAGGGCGCCCAGATAGGAAAGAGAAATCCATCTTTGAAGCTGTGCGGACGACTGAAGATGTATCCAGTATCCCAGCTGTGCGGGCAATATGGTCACCTTTGAGGTCAGCGGGACCACGCACAAAAGAGCGCTGCTCGATCAGGCGACTTACATGACCAGAAGAGAGGAAAAGCTGTTCGGGGATGCGTGAGTGCAAGGAGGTCAAGGCATGATGGTGAGCCATGCGCGTCTATGCCAACTGGCTTAGATCCGCAAGTTCTCACTCACACAAACCAGGCCGAGATCCAAGTCTGAGGCTTGTGGATGCTAAGAGCGCCGACGGCCATCTTGAAAGTAGATGAAGCACAGGTCAAGAAAAGGATCGTAGGGTGTATCGACCGAGCAGAACGCAGATGTCGTTGAGGTGATGTTGTGGGCGTAAAGGAAGCTCCGTTGGCGTCATGGAGCAGACACAAGCAATGGCGCATGGGCATTAGAACCAAGCAATAAGAAATCATCAAATCATCAGGCCCCGCCCGATGCTGGACTCGTGACTCCTGGAAGCTCTAAAAATGAGCACAGGATGGTCCGATTTCGTGTCACGTTGAGCGTCTCTGTCCGACTGCCTAGATCCCCCTCCCTGCACGCACGTTGCTCCACACTTATTTCGAAGATGTTTGGATGCTGCTGCATATGCTGCATGCTGGTGTCCATGCACGCTGCTCATCTGCTCGCGGCGGAGCTTATTGCCGTTGGTCTGCAGCAGCAGATGCTGCTATTGCGCGCCATCGCGCTTTGCACGCGTTGGCGCACGTTTGAGCGAGGGCTGGAAATCCAATGTTCGAGAAGTATTCGTCGAGCGCCCTGCTCACGCAGCAGCTGCCAATGCTTGCATCATGCAGGGCTACAGCGAGTCGTGAGGCGCGAGTCCGTGCGGTGCTGATGCGCTTTGTCGCTTTGGCGAGCGCAGCGTCGTTGCGGGGCCCTCCAGCGGTAGGCACCGCGTTACGATCACGAGGGAAGATCTCATCACCATTCGCACCGCCCTCCTCCTCTTGCTCCTTCGCACAGCCACAACCAGGTGTAGCTAGGCAATCACAATCGAGCTCTTGCCGATACAATATTGACATCTCCCTTGCACACTTTCCTGTCCCTTGCGATCCTCGTTCCTCGCTCGACTTGGAAGATCTTCGCTCGCCTCGATTCGTCTCTTGCAAGCGGATAATATGGCGGACGAGAGACCGGTAGTTGTCGACAATGGTACCGGTGTGAGTGTAGCGTGCTCGCATTGGCTTGGCCGATCACCATGTAGGCATGCATCCCACTGACACTATTCACAATTCGCCCTTTCGCGTCGCAGTTTGTAAAGGTCGGATATGCTGGGTCGAATTTTCCCGAGTTCGTCTTTCCTTCCATTGTGGGCCGGCCCATCCTGCGCGTGGAAGAGAAGGACGCTGCCAATGCGGAAATCAAGGATATCATGGTCGGGACGGAAGCCGCTGCTATGCGTAATTACCTCCAAATCTCTCAACCCATGGAACACGGTATTGTCAAGGACTTTGGTGACATGAGACATGGTAAGTAGCCAAGGTCGAGCTCGTGCAGACGGATACAGGCGCCGAGCAGCCAAGCTTGGAAGCGGCATCTTCTCATGGATTGCTCATGCTTCACCCATGTCTATCCGAACCAGTGTGGAACTACACTTTTGACGAGAAGCTGCGATTGGATCCACGGGGACGAAAGATCCTTCTCACCGAGCCTCCAATGAACCCAAAGAGGAATAGGGAGGAAATGTGCCAGATCATGTTCGAAGAGTATGGGTTTGAAGGAGTCTACGTTGCTATCCAAGCAGTATTGACTTTGTATGCGCAAGGTTGGTACACGTGCCGATCCCTTCTTTGCGTCTCATCGTGCGTAGGCCCTTCTTGCTGACCGAATCTTTTGCGCTCGCAGGGCTTCAAACCGGTGTTGTTGTAGACTCTGGAGACGGTGTCACCCACGTCGTGCCTGTATACGAAGGTTTTGCTCTTCCTCACCTCACCAGAAGGCTGGATGTTGCAGGTCGCGATGTGACGAGGTATTTGATCAAGCTGCTCCTGCTGCGTGGCTACGCGTTCAACCGGACAGCGGACTTTGAGACTGTCAGACAAATCAAGGAGAAGCTCTGCTTCATGAGGTGAGTGCAGCCTCCGCACATAACGCAATTCAACGCAGCTTTCGCTTACTGCGACGAGGCATTGCTCAGCTACGATCTTGATCTCGATAAAAAGTTGGCGGAGGAGACTACTACGCTCGTGGAGAACTACACTGTAAGTTGCACTTGATGGCCTTTGCTCTCGTCGCGCACACGTTCTTAGTTCCCTATCCACGTCGCAGCTTCCCGATGGGCGCGTCATCAAGGTGGGCTCGGAGCGATTCGAGGCACCCGAGTGCATGTTCCAGCCACACTTGGTAGACGTGGAACAGCCTGGCGTTGCAGAGCTGCTCTTCAACACCATTCAAGCAGCTGCAGTGGACACCCGTGCAGATCTTTACAGACACATTGTGCTCTCTGGTGGATCGTCAATGTACCCCGGGTTGCCTTCCAGATTAGAGAAGGAGATGAAGCAGCTCTATCTCACTCGGGTTCTCAATGGTGATGGCGAGCGTCTCAAGGTGGGTGTGACTTGAGGAAAGCGCTTGTGATTCAAGTCCGCGCACTGCCCGGCCGCTGACATGATCACCGCACCCCAATGCTTGACACCGACGCAGTCTTTCAAAATCCGCATCGAGGATCCACCTAGGCGCAAGCACATGGTGTTCCTCGGTGGTGCAGTGCTCGCAGACATCATGAAGTCGCGCGAGGAGTTTTGGGTCAGCAGGGCCGACTGGTACGAGCAGGGACCTGCAGCACTGGACAGACTGGGCCGGCACGCGTGATCTAGCTGGACATCAATGTGCTGGGTGGCTTGTCCACCTCACCGTACATGCACAGACTGGGAACGGTCCGTTGCTGATTGGTACGCAATACGATGTTGTATGCGCGTTGCACGGAGATATTCAGTGATGCTGTGATCACATTCTTTTGCTGGAGGACGATGATGGCGCGAGGCCCACGAATCGAAGGCGATGAATGGATGCTCGCTGGTGAGCATGTGCCAGCTGAACGTAGTCAAAAGCTGTGAGTATGTGGCATAAGAAAGCACTTTTCGGGTGAACTGCGCGGTATAGCATGCAGTTTCGCATCGTAGCCCGCGCGCTTGTCATGCTGCCTCTTGGCGCAGCGGCAGAAAGCAAGGTATCATTTGCGACCATTGATCCCTGCATGGACTCCTCGATCCGCACTGCGCAGCATTCAGAGTCATCGGCAGCAAAGAGGGGGCTGTGGAGTCTGCGTGGCGTATAGCAATGCCTGAATATCACACTCTTGACTGCATGGCAAAATATTCCCTCCAGCAGCAGTCTTGAGTGTGAGCGGTGAGTTATAAGTGAATTGGGGAGAGCATCTGATGAGTTGGGCAATTAAGTCCGAGTGCACGTACGATCACCATTCACGATTAGTCGGACCGAATTTCTTTCCGTGTGCGGAAAAGGTGCGTCATCTCTCCCATCCAATTCGTTGCACATCGCGCGTGTTCAGTGTGAGTGAGGCAAGGCTACCTGTCGTTGTGCACAGAGGTGACATCTGGTATATAGAGAGGGGCAATAAGAGCGAGGAATCAAGAGTGCGAGGGGTGCCAAGGGCATCATCACTCGACATTCGAGGCGTCGCACGGCAACAACTGCTCATGCGCCTTGCTGCCTGTTGGCTGTGAGGGCCATGCTTAGCGTGGGCTGAGCACCGCCTTTGATGTTAGCCATGCATGCATGCATGCATGCA